CAACAAAGAACAGGAGTCATTAGAGGTGCATTTGAGGCCGCGGAATGTGTTCAAGACTCGAGACTCTCTTCCAAAAGACTGTAGAGAGACTAGCTTGCAACTTGTAGATAGGAAAGCAGCAACTTGCAACCTGCAGCTCCCAGCAACTGCAACATCGCCCATCTCCATCGCCGCCGACTTCTTCAACTTCAACATCAAGTTTCAAGTGCCAGGCAAGAACGTTGCATGATTTATGGCAATTATGAGAAGCAACATCAGTTTGCCAAAGCCGCCGGTAGAGGAGAAATGATGATGACAGTGGTGGCATCCACCAACCAACCAACCAACCAGGAGGGGGCAAGGAGATAGCAAGTGCAGGCTTCAAAGTTTCAGCAATTAATTGCTGCAAACAACAATTGCAATTGCAATTCTACCATAAAGCCCTAAAATGTGGCCAAGATACATACATGTATGCTAGTCATCATTGAGGATCAGCGATCTCCGGTTGTGGTTCTCCTTCTTCCATGTAGTCAAGTGGCATGCCACTCAGTTAGTCAGTCAGTCAGCCAGTCAAAGTTAAGAGGGCACACAGATCGAGGGGATCGCAAATTCAGATAAAAGTTGCCATTGCCACATCCTCTCACGATCAGGACGAGAAGAATTCCAATAGAAAGAAAGTCGGCTTCTAGTCAAACAAAAGACTTAGGAAACAAACTTGCAACTAAAATTAAATCATAAATTCTCACACAACAACCAAGTCTAGGCCCACAGGGCTCATCATAAAAAATGAATAATTGGAAAATGGAAAAGATAGGCAACTGTCAGGCGGCATCATAATCGAGATAGTGATCGGCGTCACTTTGTGGTTGTGTGACATCTCTGTTCTGGACTCGACTAGAGCTTGAGGCTCTATCTTCTGCCGTCCAGGCCTCCAGGCAGATGTTGGTATTTTTAGACATCTATCTTGGCCACAAAACTCGAACATGGCTCATTACAACAGCCCTGACACTTGGACTGGACGTGGTGGGGCATCTGCATATGGGATAACCAGCATTTGGGTGTGGACCTGGCGCTAGACATCCTTGGAATACGAATCAGCAGGCCTCATTAAAAATATTTGCAATTTAAAGAGCAAAAGACAAGAGACCAAGACCGGAGTTGCGGCCTATTTTTAAATGCAGAACTCGAACTCGAACTCGCACTCGCGCCATCGCACGACAAGACAATCAGGACATGGAAATAATTGAATGCGCCTGGTTTGTGCAACAGGCTGGGCCTCTACTACATAGTAGAGGCAAATGGCAGCAGATGAAGATGACCAATTTGCTGCAACATGTGTGTCGGCCTGGTCGGTCTGGTCGGGGGCCAAAACCCGATAAGCAAATGTAAACCAACAAGTGCCTCCTCCTCCTCCGGCCACCATTAAGTGGCCCATTGTGGCTCATTTTGTAGTTTGTGCAATTTTAAGAACAACATTTAATTAAAGCCATAAGATGGGGATGGGGAGGGGGCTATGCCACAAGATTTTAAATGAGAAGGAGGCAGTGTGGCGGAGGCGGAAGTCTACCTGATCAAGTGACTCTAATGCGAATGGGCAAAAGTGTTTGGCTTTAATCTGCACATTTCCTTCGTTTCTGGCCATTAAGAGGAAATCTTGGCTCATTTGTTAGTCTTTCAGGCTTTAGTCTTTAAGATTCAAATCTTTTGAGGAACTTTCTTTAAAAAAAAAGACAACTCTAGTCATGATTACCGTTTTATTTCATTTCGTTCCGTTCCATTCCGTTCCGCTGCTAACTGTTCACAGCCATTAGGCCAAATTACAGACATTTTTCCAACAATTATGTGGCATTATTGGACCAATTAGAGCCTCTCCAATGAAATGCTCAAACAAATTGAAATTGAAAGAAAGTCGAATGCAAATTTGTGCGTTGCTGTGGGGGAAAAGTGGTAAAAGAAGATAAACAAGTAAGACCCAACCAGACCAGACCCGACCAAAAGATGCGGGTCCAAAGAGAGAATTATATATAGATATATATATATTTGTGGATAGATTGTGGTAGAGGGGAAGTGCTATTTGCTTAACTTGGCTTTAACAGCTTGCGGACGTTTGCCGTTAGTTGACCTGGTTAGGAGAGTCAGAAGCGGCTGGAGTCGAATAGAGTTGGCCAGAAAAGTAAGCAACTAGCCATTTGAATGCTCAAAATGCTTCAAACTGCCAGATGGCAGATGGCAAAAGGTCGACAGGCCATTCGAGATTCCATCACAGCAACGAGCAACCCTCCAAGGAAACGCACGTACTTAGGAGGGGGCGGAGCTGGAAGGGGGGCGTATTCAGGCACTGTCATTAGCCAGCCCTCAATCCCCTCCAGATGATCGTCTGGATAATATTCTGTTTGCTTAATTCACTTTATCCTATCATGGCCTACAAGACACTGAAAGAAATCAAGGCCTAAGATGAGGTACAAGTTTCAAGTTTGTTGCCTAAGTCTTTTGTTTTTTTTCTTCAAGTGCCTTTTCCCCAGTTGCATGCTAATGGCCCTGAATTGCCGCATGGGGCAAGATCACAGCCAAACGCCATGGAATGCCAACAATGGCAGCCAGCACCATTATGGTGCCCAATGGACCCCCACGTCTGTCGCATTAGCCGATTTGGTCGATTTAGTTGCGGCTCGTTATATGTTAAAATATTAAAGATATGCCTGGTGCGTGGCTTATTTGATTTGCCTTGCCCCACGGCCCATGGGGCATAGCCATGAGATGAGTGCTAATGATGCCCCCAGGCTGCCCTTTTGCCAGTTTCGCCAGTAATTGACCTTTCCTTTGGCCATCTGCCGCCAACTTTCATTGTCATTCATCAGCCAGAAAATCATCAAATTAAACTACCAGTCTAAAAGTACCGGGTATCATATAGTTATGCTTTCTTTCAGCTTGGATCTTGTACCATCGCTGGGTGAAACTTTCCTGAAAAGCCGACACTTGATTCAGGTATCGAAGTGCTTGGGGATGTGCGATTGGGAAAGTGCGTTCTTTGATCACCTCAAGTGCAACAAGTCTCTTGTTGCTGCCACGGCTCTTCCGCCAAATCACCGCCATGTCGGTGAGAGAGAGAGAAAGAGCTGTGGCAGTGGGAGATGATGTGGCAGCGCTGAAAGCGGTCACATGGAAACATGGAAGTAGGCCACGTTCTGGCCAACATACAGACACGTTGCCAGTGGCTTTGGGTTTTGGTTGTGTCTTTCTTCTTGCAGTATTTTTCTTTTTTTTTTTTCGATTTGGGATTTGGGAGCTAAGAGCTAAGAGCTGAGAGCTGGGTGCTAGAAGTTGAGTGCCGTGTCAAAGATTCTGATCCAACCTTAGAAAGAGACTCGAGTCTGGGGCATGCAAATCAACGTGCAATTGGATGTGGGTCAGGCGGATATTCATTTTGGCCACAAGTCCACTCTTCAACGGACACGGACACGGACCCTCTTGAACAAGAGGAAGTGGTGGCCTGAAACCAGTTTTCTGGTTCCTGTTTGATGGCTATTTTATTTTCAGTGCATCAATTGTCACCTCGTGCAGCCGCAAATGAGTTTATGCGGTTTTGAGTTTGCTGCTGCTGCAGCCATTAGTTCCATATTCCAGCTTTGGTTACCAATCTAAACCTGGTTTTTATACCTACTACTCATACTAGTGTAATCATAATGATGAGAATGGAATCTTGGGTATTTATGCCAATCGGTGGTTCTCATAGTGCTGGCTGGACTAGTTTAATGTTCAACCAAAACAACCCATAAATCTTGCCTCAACTTTATGGCCTTCTTCTCACTTTAGTATCAATAACTAAAATTTAAGACACACACTCTTGAGGTTTTTTTATGGCTCATTTATATTTTATATATATACGATGTCATTGATCTAAATCTGTCAACGTTTTACTTTTCCTGCTGGCCTGGTTTCACCTTTTTGCTTTTCTTGGCTAATTGCCGAGTGAGTTTTTCTGGCTTTTTTCCGACTTCTGGTCTTTTGGCCCATGTCGCCTTTCAATGTTTTGTCACTTGAATGTGGAGCGACCTAACCCAAAAAAGTACTCATTATTCACAAGGCACCTTCACACAAACGTGCCTTGTCTCTTTTCAAGACTCTCTTTTTGTTTTTTTTGTCGCTTGAGAACTTTTCATTTCTCTAGAGAAGAAATATTTATTATGCACATTGCTGACTGGCACGACCTAAGACAATCTGGCCCACAGACCAGAGCTCTAGCTCTAGCTCTAGCTCCATGCCTCTCTGCCTCATTCACATGCCACTCAGGCTCTGACTTGGACTTGGTCGGACATCTTCCCAAGGTGGCAAGGGGAGGAGCCGCCGGGATCGTGGCATATGCCACAACACATGTGTGGAGTTCAGGAGCTGCCACACAGAGTTCAGACTCTGACTCTTAAAAAAAACTTAAAAACATTTATTGAACTTTAAAATAAAAAAAAGAGCTTCCATTTTATTTTTTTATATTTTTTTTTTTTACAAATTCGTGCAAACGTGCCCGACATGCAGAGAATTCAAATAAATAAATTGAATTTCGGTGAAAGCGAGAACACTGAAAGGGGGGACGGGCCGGAGAAGGAGGAGGAGGCACAAATCGTGTTGCTGCTAATGGCCTCACCTCCCCGCCTACTGTACCGCCCACTGCCCACCGCCTTCTATGGCCATTTTCCCATGGAACTTTTTCGTTAACTCCTGTCTTGTTTTTTTTTTTATTTTTTTATTTCTTTCATTTTATGGTCCAAATGCGCCTCACGCCAAACACACACAAAAAAAGATCATAAATCAATCAAAACTTAGGCAAAAATAATCAAAAAAAAAGAATAGAATGCCAGGAGAAGGGTCAGCCTCCCAAAGAAATAAAAAAAAATGAAAGAAATACCTCTAAAAAAATAAAACTAATTAAAAAAAATGAATTCACAGCGAAAGCAAAACTTGTAAACGAAATGGAAACTTTTCAACGCAAATTTGTTAGTTTTTTTCTTCATTTTTTTGTAGCTTACTTGGCTGATTTGCTTTCGATTTCTGCTTAACGGTCTTCAGCGATCTTTCTGCGACTTGTTGTCTTCGGAGAATCTGAAAGTACAAGACATAAATAATAATGAATTAATTTGTATGTACGATTTGGCAGACAATATAGAAAATGGAGAAGGTTAATGGTTAATGGTAGTTTCTACAAAGATTTCAAAACATAAAAAAAGAGAAAACAAGACCTGTCCAAACATTTTTAGTATAATAATGGTATTTTTATGGTATTTTTATAGTTCACAATGGATGATATAGATAGATGGTAACACTAAGAAGAGATATTAAAATATATTGACTTTAAAACTTTATTAAAGATACTATTCCACATTTAAAAAAAACATCTTTTTAAATTATTTAACTTTATAAACTCTCAAGATAACTAATTTAACCCCTAAAACCACCTTTTTTTAAGGCCTCTATTTGAAGATTATCCCCCAAAAGCAAAAGCCATCAATCTTGGCCAACAATCAACTCTTTGCCTGGCTTTAACCTTCTACTTATCTCTAGCCATTTTTTATTTATTATTATTCCTTAGTCCCCCCCTCTATTTTTTGCAAACAATATCTAAACAGTTGTAACGGTAAGACCCCCAGCTCATCCATCTCCCCCGATTTTCGATTGTTGTTTAAAAAATATTTAAGAAAAAAAAAAAAAGAAACCAACTAGGAGGAGAGAAAACCGAAACTGAATTGCGTTCGCTCCGCATAAATTGTGGTCCAGGCCGCGATCTTTTTCCCACTTTTGCGAAAAAAAATCTTTATAATAAACAGAAGAAAGAAAAGAAAAGAAAGAAAATATGTTATGCATGGCAATTTTCCATTTTGAGGCTGTTGGCTGTTGGTGTTGTGTCTAATGTCATGTATTATCCAGACCAGAAAGCAGAAGAGGCCGAAGAGCCAAGTGTCCGAAATGGCCAGAAGACAGAACACCAGAAGAACACCAGAAAGACAGAAGGCCAAGTCCAAGTCTACAATCGCTGGCTATTGTCTTTGTGGGCAGGGCGCTAGCCAAAAGTGAAATATTTCAAACACCAAGTCGTGTCGCATTCCCAGAGTAGTATGGCCCCTTTCAGATACTCATCGTTGTATCTTGAAGATGCAGATTGCCCACACCCCTCCCCCTCCCCAACCCTGTTACCTTTCTGGTGGTGTTTGCAGTGTCATCTTTGGTTGAGTAAACAGAGCAGCAACACAAATGGAAAATGGCCAGAAGGAAAAACCTCTGGAAAGAATCTTAAGACTACAAGGAGGACTACAGAAGATTTACATTCGTTGGACCGCCACCAGTCCCCCTTGTAGCCCTTGATGGGCTGGCCAGATGGATCTTCTTTTGTTCTCGACTGGCCAGGGCTCATATGCAAATCTTGTGAAGATTTAATGGTCACACACAACGGATATGGATATGGCCAGCTGGTTCTCAAGAAGGATGGTTAGAAGGTTCGTTTTCTCCATTCTAATCAATTCAATTGCACACCCAGCACACCCAGGTAATTGCAATGGCACTAAAGATGCCACAGAACAGGATACGAGACAACCAGAAGACTGAATGGAGGGACAGGTCAGGAAGTACTTGCCATAATTATTATTTTTTTTTTCCAATGCGCTAATTGAAAAGAATACTTTTGCTTTTGGTCCTTCGAGACAGATGGACTTAATTGGTCCTTCGAGCCGGCTAACCGAAAGCATCTTCGTTTGAGACAAAGAAGTGGCATTTAAGACTAAAAATAGTAAACGAACAGACACCTAATATCGTAGCTGGATTACACCATCTGAATGTGGTGTAAGGACCTCCTACTGACTATCCTCCTTTGGCTTTCGATACTTGCTCCAGATCAACGTATTCCCCAGGGGTGGATGTCTCTTCTGTTCTGTTCTTTGTGTTTTTTTTTTTTGGTTTTAAGCTGCTGTGTTGTGGGCCATTAAATTCGAGCAGCGACGACATTACCCAAATGGCTGACATGACCGGGACATTGATGATGCCTTAGACCCCAGTCTGGACTCTGGCTCGTCCTCCTTTGGGATCGGTTCGAAGATCTTTTTCCTTTTGGCTCGTTTGGGGCATCGTTGTTGGCATCGTTGTTTTTGGCTTGTTCTAATTGTTGTTGCCTCGTGTTTTACCTCGTTCCTTTGGCATTTGGCGTTTGCGTGTGTGATTGGATTGAACGGAATAGGATTCTATATACCCACTACCCTCTCTCTGTATATATATCGAACGTCTTTGGCTTTGGCTGTGGCTTTGGCTTTGGGTTTGGGTATTTAACTGCGATTTGAGTCACGTTTCATTACTCGTGATGCCAGACAGTAATCACTTGATTTTCCAAAGCCGCTTTCTTGTATAGACTCTTGGTGTTGCTGCCGTTGCTATTGCTGTTGCTCCTACCGCTGTCACAGACCAGATCAGACACGAAGCTGGCCAGCAGGCTGGCCCAGACCTTGGCCAAAAAGGTGCTACCAAAAGCGGCAGCAAAATGGAACACAAATCTTGTTAGGCAACTACATACAACAGCAACATCGCAGCAACAAGAGCAACAGCAGCAGCAACAGCAACATGAGTTGCCCAAGGAGTACCATACGGCGGGGGTGATCTTTAAGGGGTCATAAATAGAGCTAGTACAACACTGCTACAAAAAATGGTCTAAAAAACTTAGAATAGATACTGTAGGTTTAGTGTATCCCCGTGACTCACGAGTTCGTGGCCTCCGAGGATATCGCCTGCCAATGGCCAGTTGCTTCTAATTTGGTTTTTATGCTTTGATCTCGTGACGCTTGTCATTGCTTGGTGGGGTTTCGGGAAAATGGAGGGAAAATGTGGAAAATGGAGAAGTGTTTTTCCGCGGATGGGAGAGGTAAAGTAAGAAAATTGCCGGCAACGCCAGCGATAATCAATTAACCTGGCTCACTGGGCAGTCTTTAGGCTGAAAATGTTGGCCCATCGGAGGAGGAGGAGGAGGGACTGGGCACTGGGGACTGGGGACTGGGGGATATCCAATGGATTCGCCGCTGGTGTCGCCTCCCCACGAACTCGCTGCTCTGACTGCGTTTTCTTGATGAAGTTTTCCGCTGACTTTGATTGCGGTTGAATATTCCACCCACCCCTCCAGCAGTGTCTCTTCTGGAAAGATTCTTCTTCTGTTTTTTTTTTTTTGCTTTTCAATTTTCCTTTTTTGCGGTTAACCTCGAAATGAGACTCAAAGAAAAATTTCCCATTTGCTTTTCACGGAAATCTCAACAACATTTTGGATGGAAAACTCATTTAAATTTTTTTTTCTTCTTGTAATTTATAAATGAAAGTTGGCTAAAAAAAAAACTTGAGTTGGCCAAAAACAAGAGGGCCTTCTTGGAAAATGTTTGAAAAAGATTCTTGAGAGATAAAGCCTGTTTGGTTGGTGGGCGTGTCTGTGGGCGATTTTTCATCGCGTGCGACATTTGACTTTTTTTTTTTTGGTTTTTGGGATGTTACCCTTACCCCACACTCCCACTTTATTGGCCTGTTTCTCTCCGGTTCCTGCCACTCTTCATCTGATTTAACATGGCACGTACCGCAGATTTGTATTTTATTTTTTTTTTTTTGGTGGGTTGGGGATTGGGGAGATCGAAGGAAAGGCTTCTTGCAGAGGCCCCGAAACCAAAGACGGCAGCAACAGCAGCAGCTGCCCAGGCCAAGTCATCTGAGTTGGCCTCCACTCTTAAGTAGGTTAATTTTGACCGGTTTGTCTTGCTGCCCCAAACAGGAGACAGCGATAAGGTGGTGGCGGGAGGGCAGGAGAAGGTGCCCCTCGATCTTTGGAGAAAGAGCCAGGGAGGTGGCACCGAGAGAGAGTTTTCATACGGAGACGGCATTTGGCTGTTGGACTTGGAGCTTGTTGTCTCTGATGTTCCTGATTGACTGAAGACTGGAGACTGAAGACTGCAGAGTGAAGACTGGCAACTTAAGTCCAAAGACTGTCGCCGAAGACAGAGGCATTTGCCTGATTAACCCACGTTACAGTCACTTTAATGAGGCAGCCACATGTCTCTGGCCAACAATTTTCTGGCCAACAACTGTTTGGCTTTTTTGATTTTAAATAAAACTAAGCTACAATTTCTAGGCGTGTTTTAGCTTCTAGCCTCCGAAGAGTCTCTTCTTGTAGAGATCTCTGGTGATACTTTTCTTCAGCAATTTCTTTTTCTTTTTATTTTTTTTCTATTTCTGTCGCTGCGGTCTGCTTGTGATGAATTTTACAATAATCACAATAATAATAATGATGTGGCACATTACCGGAGAAGATCATGATGATCGGGTTGGTCAGCACAGCGTGGAAATGGAACAGCTTGGAATTGTAGTTGGTGGTGGTGGTGGTAGTGGTTGCATTTGTCGCTCTACCTCTGGCTCTAGCTCTGGCTCTTGGCATGAAATCATGTTAGAAATTTGAGACAAATTTCTTTGTCGTTGCTTTCAAATTGGTCTAACGGCAAAATCAATGGCTAAAACGGAATTAGAACGGAATGCCAAGGCCGGAACGGAACGGAACGGAATGAAGAATGGTGGAAAGGGGTGTCTCTTATGGAATGGAATGCATTTTTTCAGTGAAAGACTAAATGTTCGAGTCTTTGGCAGAAATTATTTAAATTCTTTGGGGAAGAAGATTCCCAGCTTCAAGGCTTCTCCCAGCTCCTCCTCCTCCTCCTCTCTTCATTTGCATTCCACCTTCTTTATCGTGTTCTGTCATCCTGGCAACCCACCTCTTGAAACCAACCATAATCTATCCCTTTTGGCTTGATTTATGGAAGCATTTGGATCACTCAATAAGCGACTACATCTCGGGGCCTTTCGACACTTTTAGGTCCAAGTATTCGGGATGGTTTCACATATTTACATAGCCATCAGCCCAGTTAGCACTTGGCCGGCTTACTGGTCCTGGGCAAGGGTTAGGGGGTGTATCTATGTAGTTGTAGCTTTTCTTTGGCCAACAACATCAAACTAAAAAGTCACCGTCGTTTTGGCCTCGTTGCCTTAACTGGAGGGAGACTAGAACAGCAAAAGGCACTGAGAGAAAAAAGGAGGAGACTACAAGGCTCTTGTACCTTCTTAAAAGCAACTATAATTCTCAACTGGTATAAGAGTTTGAACTTGACCCCTTGATTTCCCAGTGCCTGGGCCAAGTCCCAGTCCAAGACCAAGTGCCAGTCGAAGCTGAACTCCGTCACTGGTTATCTCTCTTGGCCAGAACCCAGGTCTTGGTAAGAGTCGGCTTTATTGTTGCTGTTGTTGGCCTGCCCCTTTAGCATAAAACATAAATAGCAACTGCATTCAAATGAGTCTGACAAACAAACTGAAACTGAGAAGCCACAAATCGAGGCAGGGCGGTGGATGAAAAATGCAAATGCTTAGACCATGTTGGGTCTGGCTGGGGTCTCTGCCAGTCTTCGTTTTTCTTTTCTTTTTTTGTAGTTTTTGGTATCCAATCCAATCCTATCCTATCGTATTCTATCCAATCCACTGCACACTCCACTCTACTGTAGTCGAAGACCAAGTCCAGTCTAGAGTCGAGCGTGGGCAGCACCATAGATGGAGCAAAAGATGATGATGTCCATGTCCTTTAGCCGCATTTGGGAATTTCGACGGGTCGACCGACGGCTTGCTGTGTCGAAAGCCCACTGAGCAAATATTCAATAATTGCAATTATTTCTCATATTTAATGAAGCCTCCATTCGGAGTGATTTCCGATCATTAATGAGACTCCCAGAGAGTCGTTTATGGTTAAATTGCTAAATTTGGTGGGTCTAGAGCCAACTAGAGCTGGAGACTATCTGATTTCTGGCTAATTGTTGAATGGAAATGGGTCAGTCTTTTTTTTGGTGAAAGACAGCTACGAGTCTCGAGTCTGTCTCTCTAATCTTTTTGGCAATTAAACGACGAACCAAACAGACTGTCAACCCTATTTGACTAAATGCCAAAATGTTCGACCAAGACGAATCCAGTGAGATTGGAGAAGCAAGTCAAGTTCGGGGTCTTCCAACGAGGAAGAAAAAAAGAAGCCGCTTCTCCATAGAGGAGGAAGAGTGATGACAGACAGTCGGGTTGGTTAGCTGGTTGGATGGTTGGTTGGCTTTTTGGCTTTGTTGGCTTGTTTTGCTGATTGACTGATGGGCCCTAAGTAACTGAAATTGCATAACATTCGCCTTTGTCCACTGGTTCTCTATCCTATTCCCCTCCAAATACAATTCCTGACTGGATCCTCTGGCTCTCTGGCCAGTCTATTCCCGATGCGATTCGCTTTGGTTTTCATTCCAGCTCTTAATGCTAATCGAATGTCTCCCCGATCCGCTTTGGTCTGCTCCTGGCTTTTCCTTCCATAGTCTTTTTTTCCTGTCAGCCAGTCAGTCAGCCATTCAGTCAGTCAGTCAGTCAGTCAATGCTGCCTTTTTTCGCAACGAAGATGAAGTTGGCAGTCCAAGATGAAGCTCCAAGGGGATAAAAGCGGCCACCGCAAGCCACTCTGTTTCATAAACTGAGCAAACAAATGAAAGCTGCCAGCCACCGTTGCTTCTGTTCTTCCGCCCCCAGACTCTTTCTTTGCGGGCCTTTCTTTTCAGTGCTTCAGGGGCGTAAAGAATTCTTCCACAATAAGGTATAGTATTTCGGGGAAAGTCTAACAAAGCTTATGGACAGTTTTTCAGGGCTAATTTCCTATTTGTTTCGAACCCAACTTATCTATTCTATTCTATCGATAACAACGAAAAAGCAGCTATATTCTTAAGTTCTTTGTGTAAGAAGGCATAGTATTGTGGGGGAAGTCTTCTATTTGTTTCTAACCTATCTTGTCGATAGTTCTTTTAGATCTAACCTTACTTATCGACCATGTATCGCACGTTTTCGAAGGATAGAAGAGCCTAAAGAATTCTTCTAAAAGAAGGAATAGCATTAGAGAAAAAGTCTTCTATTTGTTTCTAACCTTTCATATCTATAACCTCTTAAAGCTAGTCTCCTATTTGTTTCTAACCCAACTTATCGACCATCTATCGAAAGCTTGTGCCCAGTCTATCGATAACAAGGAAAAATCAGCTCTTTTCTTTAAAATTTCTCTCCCAAAGTATTCCATTTTCAATCTATAAACAAAAACTGAAACAATACCTTTGTTTCAAGGTTCTAAGTGGTGTCTTTTATGATTTATAACTTTGGTGGAAGATTGGTTGTAAATTCTTTTCGGGGGTCTACTGCTTTCTATTGGGTCGAAACTGTACATTTAACCCCCAGCTGGTGGTGTGGGGGGCTGCCATAAATCAAAATCGTTCTCATAATCTGGCCTTATCAGCCTCCCATCAACGGATTTCTCCAGTCTTCTGCTGCCGTCTTTCTTCGCCTTCTTTTACTTTCATGCTCGGGTTGCTGTTGCTGTTACTGTGGCTGTTGTCCATATTAGGCAGAGATTATCTCATTGAGAGCTTTTCCAGAGGTGGGGGTTTTAGTAAAGAAACAAAAAAAAAACCTAGAAGAAGGGGTACATTGTGTGACAATTTGTAGTCCACAATGCTTGGGCTTTGTGTTTTTTTTTTTCTTATATTTTTTTTTTTTTTGTTTCTCCCCCTTGGTTGGATGCCTGTTGACTCCGTTACTTGGTTTGCTTTTTGCTGGGCCTGGTGCTTGGGCTTGCTGTGGCTCTGGAAATTGCCCATAAAGTACAAAAATGTATGTGAATGGCCTTTGGCAACAGCGGCAACAGCAACATCGGCAAATGCGGCAGCAACTTGAACAGAACGAGAGGCAAGTTCATGAAGAGCAGCACACTTTTGTTGTTGCACGCAATTTGGAATTTATTTACACAATAATTGGCAAGCTGAATCAATACAAAACCCTCTCGGCTGACCACAAACAATAAATTAACAATTGCCACTTGAGCAGCAGGCCAGGCCAGGCCAGGCCTCGATGATGATTGCAAAGAGTAGAGCAAAAGAACCGGGCAGGTAATCGATAAATGTAATTGAAAATGTAGAAGAAGAGACGATAACAAAGCTCTTTAATGGCCCAGCGAATTAATCGATAACCACTTAAGGGTCGAATAATTGTAATTGCTAGGGTGTTATGGTGGGAGGACCAGGCTGCTTATTTATTCGAAAATCGATTGGTTGTTTATCGATTTGTTAAATAGGAAGCTTTTTTTTTTCATCGAATTTTTTGAGGTTATGAGGCTGGATATCTGCTTGCATTATGGGATTTATGATTGCGCCTTTGGGGTGAAAACTACAAATAACAAACACGAAGATTTCTGTTGGAAAAGCCAACTTCCGCTCTGAAGCCCGAGATCGTGATAGAGAAAGAGAGACTGGGCTTTGGAGAAACCACTGAGATGGCCATGCCTCGATAAGCTGCGAGGTTGAGTCTCCAACCGAAGACCAAGGCATTTTTTAGATACCAACTCCGAGATATATCCCCGAGACTTCCTCATAGTTCGAAAGAAGAGGTTTAAAGAAAAAAAAAAAAGCACCAAGTGCATAACTTAATTAGTGCATGGACAATGACCGAATCTTTGGGGAGGCCAGGCCGGGGCCAGGCCAGAGATTTATCGATAACTATCGATTATCGCCCAGGCATGTGAGAACTTGTGGTAACGCCCAGGGCTGGGGGACGCCGGAAAGGCGGACAAGCCCAAGGAATTAAGAATAGACAAAGACAAAATTAATTGCAATGACAGGACAGGAGACCTGGGAGATGGAGCTTGGTAGTAGGGAGTAGGGAGTAGGTGCGGCTTGGACCAACTCGATTGGAAGGCAATCTCATGGCATTCGCATCAGAAATCCTTAAAGCGGCATCAGATAAATTCAGAGAGACAGGCACCGAGAAAAATGAAGTACCCTGTTTCTTTGAGTGCATCTATAAGCACCATTTATTTGTCAGAAGCCGTGGACCAACTTAATTGTCGAAGAGTCGTCAAGGCGGCTCAAACAAATCAAAGCATCCAAATGTGTCGGCGTTCCGCCCAAGGACCTGCCCTGCAACCAGCAACTTGCAACATGCAACCCACCGCCATTTGGGGCATTACTCAATGTCACCAAGGGAGTATTGGTGGTTGGGCGGTGGATGCCGCCAAAGCGTTTTGCGTTGATCGTCAATTAGTTACACTAAGCCGCCACGGGACAATTTATGGCTGTTTGGAGATGGCCAATGGAATCACTCACGACTCACGCTAAAGATGGTCCAAGACTTACTAACTATGAATGATGAGAAAGTTTTAGAAAAGCTTCTAGATTCTAGAATCTAGAATTAGAGATGTTAGTCTTAATGAGACGATCGTGTCACGCACTCATACCTAAATGAAGAAAAGCAAAGCTAAATAATTGTGATTTGCTAGACAGAAGGCGACTGAGTTGAGTCGAGGGTGCGCATTAACTTAACCGCCGACCAGAGAGATCCACAGATGGATGGATGGATGGATGGATGAATGCAATGGGCAGCAAGTTGAGAGACCCGTCTGAGTGACTAATTGCCGTGCGATTGCCTGAGCACCTTAAGCCTATAAATAGAAACAGAGGTTTTGCAAAAAACAAAAAAAAACCGCAAAGCAGCAATGATGATTAGAGTTAGATTGGATTGGGTGAAAATTCATTCTCCAACTTGACTTCTACATCAACTTCTGAGACTCGAGAAACTCTCAACTCGCAACTCGAAACTCGAGGCTCGTCGGATCCAATCCAATCCACTCAACACCTGCCTTGATTTGTGATCGCAATTACAGCGGAAGACATAAAATACCCGACTCTGTGACTTGAACCGAGCCCAGTTGGAGAGTTAACCCAAGAGTTCACTTCATTTGGCCTGCCCAGTTGGCTCTGGTTCTGGTTGGTCTTTCCATCTTACCTTTTCAGAGAGTTTAGATGCCTTGAGCTTTTCGTCTAATTCCGATTCTGATTCAGATTCGCGATTGCAGGAGGCTTTGCAAAGACAAAGAGAGAAGAATTTGTATTCTGCTTAGATAAGATTTGATTAGAATTTATTATATGTACTTTTACATCCCACAAGAGGGTACTATTCCAAGAACTATTCTCATCTCAGCTCTAATCCGAGTCATAATCCAAGCAATTTACGAATCAACCAAAAATTTATTAGGAAGCTCATTTTCTTTGGTTTTCAGTTGAAAAGCCTCAGTTAGACTTTCAACAAATTGAAGAAAGAAGTGAAGAGCTCAGCGATGATCCCAATTCCCAACTCTTCAAGATCTTTTCAAACTTGGAGATCGGAGAGTAGAGATTTTCGAGTAAAGTGTTTTCTCTAACGGATCTCCACACACCACCTGAAGTTGAAGTTGAAGTTGTATCTTGGAGTTGGAAATGGAGTTGGAGGCTGAAAACAATGCCACTTAATTATAACATATCTTGGCCTCTTCATCTCTTCGGCATCCTCTCATCCATTTCTTGATATTAATAACAGAAAATGCACTTTCCAGTCAAATGATGTTGAAAACGAGTTTCCAATCGATTTGTGATGCTGCCGTTGCATCTTCGTTTATTGTTATTTTCTCTCCTCTTTTTTCGTTTAATTTAAGCCACTTTTTAGGGGGGGCTGGCAAAAGTTGAAAAATGAAAATTCCATTTGGGGCTAGGCTCAGTTTCTAATTTTTTTTCTATTTTTTTTTTTGGTTTTCCATTCAGATTTCTCATCTGATTCCTAATACTGATTCTACATTCTGGTTCTTCCAGAACATGTTTCTTCTTCACACACCTCCTGTTCATGTGTGTGTTTGACTGCGTAACGGTATCTACTAGTAGGTAGGCAAAAGATACATAGATACGAAGATACAAAGATACACAGATACACGGCTACTGCTAGAACAGAGTTTACTGCTCAGAAGGCCTCTTCTTCTGGTATGATTTTGATTTTAAGAAGCAGAACCACCACCCCCGCTTGTGCCACTTGTGCCACACCCATCTGATCCATCAGTAATTGCTGCAACTGGCCAGTGGAAAGTGCAAAAAGGAAAATGCGCCTCAAATGTGGTCAAGATGTGGCAAGTCAAGAGTCGGTTTTCCAGTTCAGTTGCAAGTTGCTAGCTGCCAGTTGCCAGTTGCAAGATTTGCATGCAACATGCTGAGTAATTAAAACAACAACATGGGGCCAGCAATTAAAGTAGAGTGTATGTATGTGTGTGTGTAAGATGTATGAATAAATGATTACTTGACCGAATTGCAGTGGGCCCGAGCCATAAAACAAAAGACTTAAGACACAAACTCGAAAAGAAAGCGAGAAAGAAATAAATAATCATTCCCATTCAAATGAAAATGCTATGCTATGCAAATGCAAATGAATTTTAAAAGCATTCAAGTGCAACGCTTTTGCTCTGAAAATCTCCACCATAAAGACCAGAAAGAATAGTAATGAATAGAAAAGCACAAAGGCAGAAAATCAGAAAATCAGAAAAGAAAGAACATTCGCACACTCCAAAAACACACTTTCCACCGCCCAGCTCTCTTAACCATTCTTTGTGGCATTTGCATACGCATGACGTTCGTAATTAGCCCTTTTTGTTGTTACACTCATTAAGCCAGCAACGAACTCCCAACTACCAACTACCAACTCTTTGAAGAGTCTATGAACCTAATGGGCGGCACTCACGCACCAGGTCCACCACATCAAGTGCAACTCTTCAGGGGCCATCGTACTGGCTGGTCAAGTTTTTTTTTGGGAAAACGAGAACTTGAAACTGACTGAAGAAATGGGAACACTTTCACACATTCTTCAGTTTAGTTTTCTTTCTTTCTCTTTATTTTGGGAAGAATATAAAGATGATTCTGTCAGCTCTCTATCAATCAAATGTAATTTATACGAAAGGCAATGGAACCCATCCTATTATTATAATTATAAGCTTGGAGTGTTGAGAGGCAGTTATTCATAAAGCTGGCAAATGAATCGTTTTCATTCATTCATGCAATGCAATCATTTATTCAAATTAGCATTCATTTGGAACGGGGCCTGGGCATTGAGTTTATTGCCAATTTCCAAGTGAATCATTTTATGGCCTAATTGGGAACTAAGAAAGTTTCCAACACATACTACCTTATAAAGGTCTCAGTGTGGAACCCAAAAATCGAATACAAGTTTGGCCCACATTTTCATGACTATTTTCTATTTTCATTTCTCTCTGCAAAGAACCAAAATAGTCATAATAAAGCTTATAATACCCAGATATGGTCTAAAGGGGTCTAGAGGTAGGCTTGTAAACAAAAAAAAAACCGTTGACATAGCACAGATTCTTCTTTCTTGAAAAGAAAACGAAAAGATTTCAAGTGGAACGACCAACAACACAAGTGTCATCGTCAGCGTCATGATGAGATCACATAAGAGATCTCTCCAAGGTAGAAAAGTCACCATATAATGACGCGGATGATGATCTGGTGTAATTACCATGGCCAAAACGATATAACCAATGCGATTTGGAACACAGTTTACGTTTTATTGCCAAAAAAAAAAAAAAGAGAAACTAAGAATGGATGCCACCAGCATGTTGTTCTTCTTCAAGGCCAATTGGTTTTTGAGATCTAAGAGATCTGAAAGATCTGAAGAGAGATCTATGGTCTAGAAACTATATATATCCCTTTCACTTAACATTAAATACGTAATGGTTTCTTAAGTGCCTGTTGAGGGTTGGCTATGAGCTCCTCTTCAATCATCACTCGGCTGCCACTTGTTGTCATCGTTTTGGCCATCACTCATCCCATAAGGCCCTCGAAACTCCCCGAAGTGGGAGTGAATCTGGCGAATCTGGCGAATCTGAAGAATTGTGTGTTGTCATGCGTCTAGCCAGAAGAAGGCAAACAAAACAACAGGTGTACAAAAGCCCAGAAGACATCAATTGAAGAATTCACCCAGCTGACCCACATAGTCAGCCCAAAAAAAAAAAAAAAAGAGAACGAGTGAGTATGAAGGGGAATCGGTGCCAAGCCAAGCGGCACAAGCCAAAAAAAAAAAAGAAGGCCAGGTTAACAGGAAAGAGGGCCGAGAAGCTAATGAAATCTGAGATGCTAATGAGTGTGAGGCTGCCGGGTGGACTCCATTATCTAATCGATTGTCAATCAAAGCGGTTGAATGATTCTTTTCTTTTTGGCCAAAAAACTGATAACCGTTAAGGCCCAAAGCCTTAGGGCTGAAGACCGCTTTCCCAGAGACTCCACAATCATCATCATCATCTCAATCGCAATCTCAATCTCAATCAGACCGAATTTCATTCGTTTCATTTGGAATTTGAAATTAGTCGGACCCTGCACACACCACCCGCCCGCAACCAATTTCCGCTCAAGTCTAAACTGGGCCAAAATGTACTGGGCCGCTTGAGCGTTTAGTTCTTTTTAAAGCTTTTTTTTTTTTTTTGTATTTTTTGGGTCAACTTTGAACACGCATCGAAAGAGAAATGGTCAGTGCGGCAAAATAAGTTGAGAGTTTAAAGTGGAAATCCGTCTTTAATGAGGAGAAAATCAACGTGATGTTGATGTTTTGTTTAGTTTTTTTCTTTCTTTTTTCTTTCGTTTCTTTCTCTTTCTTTAACTATTTCTTATATATATCTTTGAAGTCTTCAAGTCTTCAATTGATGGATTGCGAGTCTGGTTTTAATGATGTTGCAAGCAGCATCGCGTTGATTTGCATCGCGGCCAAGACATTAAATGATGTTGGAATACTAATGCTAATGCTAATGCTAATGCCTATTGCCCCTTAGGGTTCGGCATGAGGTTTTTGTTCTCTCATAGTTAGTTAGTTAGTTGGTTAGTTAGATGTAGGCTTTGTTTCTTCTTTTTTTTCCCGCCTTTTCCACCGCCTGCAGGTTTTGCAGTTCCAGGTTCCATTCTTTTTCCCCCAAAAAAAATACATAACACTTTTAATGGCCCCTGTTTTCTATTCAATTCTAGTCCTCCACCTCTTTTTTTTTTGTAACTTTTTTTTACGATTCGATTATAAAAGTATAACCCCGCACTGAGCTCTGGGCGACTCGGAGAGGTGGGTTTTTTTTTTTTATGCAAGATTATTACATTATTTCCGGGCGCTGAAAAACAATAAAGTTTTCATTCGAACCCGGGTACCCAGTACCCAGTAGACCCAAGACTGGTAGTTCATTTTGCTACTGGGAACACATTAAACGAGACGCCGGCTGTTTATATATATTATATTATATATATATATATATATATATATATATATATAGGTTGGGTTGGGCGACAGGTTGGGTCGCCTGGTATCTGTTTCTTCAGAGTTCTTATGCTTTTTTTTTTTTTTAATTTTTTTATGCGTTTCTCATGCTCTTGGACCGTTGCTTTTACAATATTTTGTCTCGCTCTGGCACTAAATGCTTTCCTAATGAATTGGGTGACCATACCGCTGACAGCAACGGTGGGTAATAACGGTTAATTGCGTTAATGACTTTAACAGAAAATATAAAGCGCAGCAGCTTCTGGGGCAGCCAGAGGCGGCAACCAGAGAGCGGCAACAAAGCGGCTAAAAGGCATTAAATTGGCCAGAAAGAGACGTTTGAAATTGACCCTCTCGCAGGGTCGTTGCGAGTGCATTTTCCAATGAAAATTGAAAATGTTGCAAGTTCTGCAAATATACATACATACATATATATCCAAGATAAGGCCCATGCATAATGTATTTCATGGAATTCTCATTTCAAGTTCGTTGCCTAAGTCTTTTGATTTTGGTGGAAGAAAGAGGGTGGAAGAAAAGGAAAATGTAGCTGAACAGGTGACAATTGGCCAGGCAAATAAAGGAGCGAGAGAGAGAGATATAGAGAGTGAGAGAGACATAGCCTGGCTAAGAGACCTCCTGGACGGGAGGCAACACTCACTCCAAAGGTGTCACTTTTGACGACGAGAAAGGAGGCAATCATCACCGCAATGATGACGATGATGAAGCTGAGGAGGAGAAGAGAACATGGAAGTGTGTGGAAGGGT